TTTTGGAACACAAACACGCTTACCGACGCCCGACACTGGCTGTATTTCTCGACGTGAAGGCGGCATTCGACTCCGTTGATCGAAAAGTCCTATAGCGATGTCTCTCACTGAAAGGCGTAAAGAATAAGTATATCACCTTATTGAAGGCTCTCTACTCGAACACTTGTTGGCGAGTTAGAGCCTATGGTGAGATATCCGGGAAGCTATGCTCGTCTAGTGGTGTCCATCAAGGATACCCACTATCTCCATTTTTATTCAATTTTGTCATAGATATTCTTATGCAGTCTCCCTCTCGTCACCTGACAACACAGAGGTTGACCTAATCGCAGGAGAATTTTCCTTAGACCTAGAATACGCAGATGACAGTCCTGCTAGATGGAGACGCTGACAAGATGCAGAGTCTTCTGAATGTTTGGGATGCGTTTCTCACCACCCAAATCCATATTGTTGCTCCAGGACTGGTCTTCAACGGTGTCACGGCTAACGATAGAGTGTAATGGTTGAGTGTGTCAACCACTTCACTTACCTGGAAATTAGGATCAGCCCTGGTGGCTCAGTGGCCGATGAAATCTCTGCACGGATACAAAAAGCTCGGCTGGCTTTTGCCAACTTACGCCATCTGTAGCGCCACCGTGATATCCGTACGTCTATTAAGGGTCATGTGTGCTGCAATGCAGTCCGCTCTGTTCTACTCTATGGCTGTGAAACATGGCAATTGGAGGTGGAAGATATGAGAAGGCTTCAGGTGTTTGACCACCGTTGCTTCCATAGTGTAGGCCGTATTCCTGGTGTCACCACGTGAGTAACGCAGACGTCAGGTATAGAGTTTTGGGAGAAAGGTAAGTCAGTTGACGAGGTTATGAACCTTCATCGACTGAGATGGTTGGGACACCTATTACGTATGTCTAGTCACCGATTGCCTAATCGCACAATGATGGCCGAAGTAGGTTCAGGTTGGAAAAAGGCCCAAGGTGGCCAGATTAAAACATGGCACCAATGTATGAAGTCTCTGAGCCAGTTGGGGTCCGCGGGACAAGAGGAACCAGTGGTTGGAGATTCTAGGTGATATGGCTCGAACCGATGTCAGTCACGCAGATGTATACACACATTATCCTTATCTTAACATTATACCGAATCTCACCATTTTCACATTCTTCCTTTCTCTCTTTTAGTACTTTATATTTCTTTTGACTGAATTTTCTTATCTTCATCTTCCACTTCACTGTCTTTCTACTTCATGTACCGATATGAGCTGTGGCAACTCGGACCGTTGCTCAGTAATGCCTGGTCCTAAGTTGATTTGGATGGGAGGATGGAAATGAAAATTTGGAGAGCGGCCGGATTCAAACCAGCGACCACTGGGTTTCCTGCATAATACTCTACCAAATGAGCTACGAGGTCCGACTGCTAACCAGATTTCTATGTCACTTCAATCATCAAGGGTTTTGCCCGACTGCCATTTGGTTTCGTGAGGCGTTACTACATCGCTTGATCGTACTCAAACTGGCTGCCGCTGCGCAGTCAGGACTTCTCAGGCCATTTTAAATCTAACTGAATTAGAAAGAGGAAGTATCACGTTATCATTTGACTATCTAAGATAGGTGTGGTTTGGCAGACCAGTATCGATACTGGGTAATGACTGAAAGTGAAATGAAAATTTGGACCACGATGACATTGGAACCACGTATCACGAATTCATATGGTAGTCGGGTAAAACCCTTGGCGACTGAAGTGAAGTAAAGATCTGGCCAGCAGTCGGGCCTTGTAGCTCAGTCGGTAGAGCATGGGCTGGACACCAGGTGGTTGCTGGTTCGAATCCGGCAGCGGTTCGGATTTTCACTTCACCTGTAATCATCACCCAGTATCAATACTAGTCTGCTAAACCACGGCTATCTAGGACAGTCGAAATGATTATTTTAATGCTTCACAAAATAGGAGAAATGCATCACTAGTTTAATAAACCTTTTGAAAGATAGCGGTGAAAATCTAAGGTGATTTAACCTTACATAAATAAGTTATAGGTTCAAAAGTTGACAGAGAAAATTATATCAGTAAGCACGTCACTCTACAAAACATCAAAAATGTCTCACAAACTGTCAACCAACCAAACCATAACACAATATGTTACACCAGTCAAAAGGTCCATTGCCAAAAGTAGACGGGACAAGTACAACCTATGTAACCAATTACAAAGATTGTTCACAACATTTTGGCAAGTCTAGCAGTCCAATTGCTCAAAGAATTCATGAACAACAAAAAGCAGGAAAGCCATATGAGACAGCCTCGTTGGTTTCAATAGCAATCGCAAATTCGACTGGGTGAATATAGAAGTCTTTCAAACAACTGGTTCAACAGCTGTAAGGTAATCTTTAAATGTATTGTATGCCAACGAAAAGCCAATCAATACAATCTACTTACGAAGAAAAATAGCCACCCATCAGCCAAGGGCAAATTGGTCAAATCAATCACTAATGGTGCATAATGTGAAGGTAAATGGCATAATTTCACTCTAACAAAGATTCCCTCCCAATGTGATCGGATGAAATGTGAGGTCACAGAGGTCAAAGTATGGCAAAAGTCTCTTCCTGAATTTACAAGCAGCCAACAAATACACTACCTAAAAACTAGTCGAATATTTGAGTATGCTTCACTTCTTAATGAAGTCAGCGCTGAGTATGTCGCTAAGCCAGATGATAAAAACCTTCATGAAAAAAAATCACTGCTCAGAGAACACCAAAACAACATCACATTGTCTTCCTAACTTTCAAATTGGTTGGAGACATTCAAAGCTATGAAATAACGATAACTCATGCATAAGGCAATTATCCAACAATATCCTTTAAAGCTTTAAATTACGTTCAAGAAATTTAGGAAGAAACTACATTTTGTTGGATCAATATTGAAAGAAAACTGTCACCAGGCTTCCAAAAATCAGTCGTACACCAGACGAGTTTTCCTCATTGATACTCAGTAAGAAATGAAGTGGAATGAACATCTAGCTCATGGCAGAATTCGAAGCAGCGGTCTCTGGTTACCTGCCCGGTGTTCTACCAACTCACGAGACCCGGACGATGACCAGACTTTGTCAACTGACTGACAAAATCAACGCAGAACCTAGCACACAAGTATATCGGCCCAAGTTGCCACGCTTCACAATAACATACAAAAACAAGTGGATAAAAAAAGACTGATGTCAAAGTAAGTAAAGTTCTGAGAGAGCAAGAAAAATCTGAAGGCTAGTGCGCATATTCGAAGCTTCAGAAGAAGTCAGAGTGAATACATCTGCACTACTATGACTGATTTTCAGCCAGGTGACCGAGTCCTCAACCACTGATTCTTTTCATCTCAAGGACCCCAGTCAAACAGTTTATATTTGCCTACACGACTCAGACCAACAGTCAGGAACTTCATTGACAGCCATATAGAGGGGTTAGAAACTGATGAAATCGTATAGATCCAAAAGTATAACCCAGCTTCTTTCATCTTTTACTAAATACAATACCCGTAAAATATCCCACTACCTGTTATGAGTTCAGTTTACTAAGTTGAACTTCACCCTGTTCTACAACAGTTGTGAGAAATAGCCATTGAAAGTAGAGGACGTGAGAAGGATTCAGGTGTTCTATCACCGTTGTCATCACGTCATTAATACAACTGTCAGGTATAGAGTATTAGGTAAAAGGGTGAGCGAGTTGATAAGTTTGTGAACCTTTATCGACTCAGGCGACTAGGATATGTAATGCTGATGTTTAGTCACCATCTGTACGTCAAAACTGTTAGCTGAAGTAGGTTTCAGTTGGAGGAAGAGAAAATCAGACAAGACATTATTACACGAATTCTCTACTGTTGATCTGAGCTGTGTAGCAAATCCCAGACCTACCATTTGGGGTCCATTTGATAATGAAAGTCGGTGGCTGAAAATGACAGGCGATATGCCTCAGAATCAACCGATCTCAGTGGGACAGGTACAGGCCACATCTTGTTGTAATAACAAATTTCGCTATTGCTTCGTCATCTTACTTTTTTTTCACGACTTTCTATTACTGATTTCCTTATTTACTTGCCTTTCATCTCAGTGCCTTCTGGTTTAATGCGTTGATATGAGATGTGACAATTTCGACTGTTACGTGTTGAGTACTGGTAGTGATTGGCTGACTAACTAGCTGATTCAAACCCCATTTCACCCACTGAGGTTTAGCTTAACACCAATCTCAAAAGAATATGCATGAGTGATTGCCCAGCCAGTTTACTGGTAAATAGTTGCTCAGTTACATTATTTTTATCTGAAATCTTATTTGCTTATGCACAGCCGAAGCAAACACATATGACTACTACCCTTTGCCGCGAATATAACATTTATCTCTCAGAAGCATGTCATATATGCATATGAGGTGAATTCAGTTTCAAAGAACAATCAAACGAAACGAGTATAGAGAGATATCATTATCAACTTTAAACAATTATAAAAATGTTTATTAAGAATATATGTGTACATATATGCATGCTTAAAAGTAATTTAAAAAATTACAAACTATTTAGTTGAATGAAATCTTCAACTTATTGAGTTGCTCTGTGTGACACAAAACCAGAAAATATAAAGGAAATAATCAAGGCACAAAACAAATATAAACATCAGATCGATTGTGTTCTTTATACTATAAGCTGAATTACAAAAGAACCAGTGTATAAAACTCACCGAATTAGTTACCTATGAAAAGCCACAAAGAATCGTATAGATGCATAAAACAGTGTTATATGGAATGATTGTTTTAACCAGTAGCAAAGATTTCATGATACATGCACATACTGAAATCCAGAAGAAGTGTATTCAACAAAATTAGCTGGAAAGTTGACAAGTAAGCGCAAAGCATACAAAAGAAACGCCGGGAAGGAAAACCTTCATTTGTATATGTGTACATCTCAGTGGATAGAAAAAAGTTAATAAACCACTCCCACGTTTTTCGACAAGATGCTTCACACACGGTTCGACTATATATTGTCTAATGATTATCTACTACAGAGGAAAGTAGAATTGGTTTTCCTGTTTTTTCATCCAATTCCAATCGATTAAGACCACGAATTTCAATGTCTTTCAGACAGGATAAATTCTGGAATAAACAAGTATGGTTTACGAAAAAAAGTTAGTGAAATTCTCTATAGAACATCTAAAATAAAACAATAGGAAGTTTACAGGAGTAACACTCTTGTGAGATATAATTTAACGACATATCCCATTAATATTCTGTTAGGGATGGCCAACCCCTAAGATAACTAACTTATACTTTTAATATCATTGTAAAGTTTAAGCCTTATAGAAAAGTAGATATGCTATTTGTACTGATTGCGAAAACGCACCTACCTCAATTAAAAACTGAATTGAAGCAGGAAATCAATCTGTCAACTGCGTTCATATGTCGTTATGTGAAGTAGCTGTGACAAACAAACGATAAGTGAAGCTCCAATGAATAGACTTTTATCATCCACTAAGGTCATAATGAATGACACAATACCCAGGTATCAATCTACATAAACTATGTTAACACGTTACGTGTACCATAATTTGATTTCTCGTTCACTTCGATGAGTTCATTAGGAAGTTTATTCTAACAATCGATGTTTATAAAATTTTATACTGCATTGAAACTGTTAACTACAGCTGCAAGGGCGTATATATCGATAAAAGCAATATAATCCTCTGATTCTCCAGGAGTAAGTAAGCGCATCATAGCATTCCAAAGCGTATACAAATGTAACCACATTCTTTACAAAGCTCTTATTGATTAGATTATAAAATGCTCCCAATAACAGACTTAATTCTTAAAAACACTACACCAAAACCACCTGGTGAAGAAATAAAGAAAACTGCTTGATGAATAACTTCGAAAAAAAGCAGTTGCCTGTGGAACCTTATCACAAGACATCCATCTGATTCCTCATCTACTACGAAGTCATCAACGCAGATCAACAAACGGATCATCCAACCGAACATAAAGAACTTGCCATACATCATAACAAGACTATTGAAGATGTTAACAACTGGTACAGCTCATAAACCAACAAATCCACTCCAGACCATATTATATAAACCAAAAGATAAGCCAATCATCAACTACAAAATCAGCAGAAACATCTGCGATAAACACTATACTGGACAAAGTGGTAACCTTATCCATCATCATCTACGTGAATATCAATTGATAATTAAGTATCACGACATTTCATCCCTTCAAAATCGCTGCATATTGATATAAAGTTAATTTTGAAAAACTAAAGATCTTGAACAGAGAAGACAAAGAATATCGGAAAAATCTTAACAGCTTGGCATTTAGGTCACTCAACGTTCAATACCTCAACAGATAGATCCTCTATCTAACAATAAGGAAAATAATAACCACAAGTGTTAGCGATGCCTAATCCCTAAGAAAACTGACTTATGTTTGTATTATTATTATAAGATCGAAACCTGATTTTTGCGCCGTTTTTGTGACATGCTGTCAATTATTTTTACTCTGGTTTAGGTTACTAAACGCTGATTGGTCGATTTTACACTTTTAATATGCAACTTTGTTTTTTCTGGTCAAAGCCATCTAAGGATATATAAACGACTGAGTTTTAAGTTATCATTATTCGGTTGAAATAATATACTTCCAATCCCATCATCTTATGGTGTCAGCTGAATATCGAGTTGAGAAGTCATTGTTCCATTGTTAATCGTATCGCATCAGAACATTGTATCGTTACACATACCGCGGATCATAACAACAAGATCACAGGTCAGGGTGACACAACAATCAAAGGAAAAATTAACAAAAGACAGAAAGACAGTGAGCAGCAGATTAGGGAGAGGAAAACTAACAAGACAATCCACTTGAACTACAAATATTTTCCATTATTCTAAGGAGCTAGTTCATAACTCAGTAGAAGATATGATCCGATTATTAAATGAATTCGGATAAACCAATCTGATGCATAATACCTGATATTCACACATTTATGAAACAGTATACACTTATTTTTGTTCTTTACTGTTTATTGAAATCACAGGAAAACAGCAGCTAAAGTTGTTGTTTTTTTAAGAAGATAACAGAATTGGTAAAACTACAAAGTACACATTAATTGGGTGACCATGCTATTCAGAAGTTTTATAGCATATCTACCAGTGAATTTCTACGTCTTTTTCTATAACTTTATTGGTAAATTATATAAAAATATTATTTATTCTGATAATTCCAACATATTCCTCAGAAGTAGCTATTTACGTGAAGTATTTAATGAACAGTCAGTTATTGCTTGACTAAAGATTCAGAGTGACCGGTTACTTTGGCTCAGCATACCAATGTATGAAGTCTCTGACTGTTGGTTTAAGCCATGTAGGACGATGCAGACTAGGTGGTTGGGGTCCACGGGACAAGAGGAACCAGTGGTTGGAGACCCTAGGTGATATGGCTCAGAACCGAAGTCAGTGGCGCAGATGTATACACACATTATCCTCATCTTAACAACGCTATACCGAATCTCACTATTTTGTCACTCCTCTTTCCTTTCTTCTCATACTTTATATTTCTTTTGACTGCATTCACTTATCTTCATCCTTCACCTCACTACCTTTTTACTTGATGTGCTGATATGAGGTGTGGCAACTCGGACCGTTACGCAGTAATGCCTGGTCCTATGTTGATAATGATGATGATGATGATGATTGGCTCAGCATTCGATATCTGAAATAATACAAATAGAACTTACAATCTAAGGTGTCACCAAAATTCGCTTATTCTATGGGATACATAGTATAATAAAACACTATCCATATTATTTGGTGCACACTTTCACAGTGAGTCCGAGTCATTGAAGTCATTGGTTACACCAAAAAGACACAAAGAATAACATTTATAATCGTCAACTTGATGAATTTCAATCAATTTATGTAAACAACATTATGCTGAACAAATAAAAACGCAAGTTTTATATATAATTGATGGCTAGCGGATAGTGGTGGAACCCAAGACGCGCATCTCGTCCCATTTAAGACTCGTCAGCTGGATGTACCTACATCCCAGTGAGCGATGCTGTTTCCCAACAAGACTCGAGCTCAGGACCGATCGATTTAAACACCAAAGCGTTATCCACTAAACCATCCAATAACACTATAGTCACAAGTTAATTAAAGTGAAAGATCAATGTGTAGAACACGTCGTTTGCACTGACTGGGATAAATCTAATAATGTCTCGGTTAGAAAAGTGAATGGACTATGAACCATAGGCAATTAGGCAGTTAAATTTGGGTTAGCAATGATGGAAATTGATAATGTGAACTAAGTAAATATTGAAGCACATTGTTGTACCAACACAATACTCAAATTCAGTTATATTGTATCTCAAACCTAATTAACTCTTCCTAAAATTCGACAATACAGTTTTTACCACAAAATATACGTAAACATTCTTATAAGCACCAAGTAACATAACACACAATGTGAATAAACCGAACAGAACGCCACAGCCACTGTGGTACGATAACCAAAGTTCTCAGTGAATGTACAGCAAGTTGAACAAATACTCCGTCAACATAAAATCCACATCAAAGGTACATATTTGAGTCGTACTCATTCTCAAATTTGTTTTTTAACCTATTACGTTACAAATAAAATGAGATGTAGACAGCAAAATTACGAAATGGGAAAATTCTTGACAAAACAACTGGAAGATGATTAAACTGTGTCTCTATAACATTGTTTTCCGGTTACTCTCTGCCTACAATACCTACGAATGGTTCCAAAATAAGTAGAAGTAGCTAAAATTTTACTGGATACATTCTACAGTACCTTCATTGTCTAGGTATATCTGATAGACTGATTACTCAAGTAAACAATCTCCTTAAAATCAAATGAAATGTAATTACTGAGAATAATTTTAACATACAAAACTCAATAAATTTAATAAACACAGACTTACTTCACCATCATAAGTAATCAACGGTGAAATTTCAACCAAGGCTTTTTCATATACACTATTCTGATATCCATTTCCATTCGATGTAGAGTGATCATCTATTATTATTGCACCAGCATTTTTTGCCAAACGTGTATGATAATTCAATAAATCATTACGAGATGTTTTAGGACAATCTTTTATTGCTCCTGGTCCATTTTTGATTGGAGAAAATTGCTCATCTCTTGGAACCTCCCAAATGAAAAACCGTCTTTAAAAGAGTTAAAACATGTGAAAATGATTTGCAAAGCTAAAAAATAAATAAGTATCATGAATAAGAAATATAAACTTACAAACCTTCTTAACATGATGTGACATAGAGCAACTCTTAATTTCTGAGATAAGTATAGGGGAGAAGAAAGTGGTAAAATGGAATAAAAACATTTGAAGCCATAAGATTTTCTGTCTGTAAAATCATACACCAATCTTCGAGTTTTTGAAACACACACACACACACACTAAACACAGTTTTTAAGAATAACGTCAACAACAAGCGTTTGAGTGTTATAAATTACTTAATAAGTCGCTGAAGTCATATTGGAACTGCCAAAACATCATTAAGCTTGATTGTGTGATATAGTTTAACGCCACAACCAGACATAATTGGTAAACAGAATAAAAACTATCATTACATCTTCTATAGTAAATAGGAAAATAAGTTAAATTAGTATACAGGATTTTTAGAGCACGATAAAAATTCAGTGTAACTTTAACAGGTAAATAGATTTCAAACTACCGGTTGAAGTGTATAATCGCTGGTATATGATAATTTTCAGACTCCAACCAGGTAGCATACAAACTTTATGGATATTTGTTGGATCTCATCAATCACTTGACAATTCATCTAGCCAAACCCAATTTCACTTAACATTCCATGGCAAAATAAGCGGCATGTCAGACTTGCATAGAGCTTCCAGAAATCAGTTAGTTTACCTTCGTTGCTTTAGACCTACCTTCGAGCTTGCTAAGAAGAAAGGTAAGTCAGTCAGTCAGTCAGTCAATGAGGCTGTGAACTTTTGCCGATTAGCCTGACTTACATATGTTGAGCATGCCTATCCACCGTCCACTTCGACGTCTAATGCTACTCAAAGTCAGGTTGGATTGGAAGAATCAATAGTTGGAGATTCTTGGTAATATGGAAATCGACCAAAGTGGTGCAGAAGTAATCACTCCTTGAAGTCTTTGACAGTTTGAGCATTTTCACTGACTTCTATTTATCGTACCTCTATTCATCCATACACTTTTATTTACTTTCAGATACCAATTTTTTCATCAACTTCTTTTCATTCTATTGTGAAATATGGCAACTTGAACCAATGACCTTCTATAGCAGGTTCTACGTTGCTTAGTTTGTATATCTATCCTAGTTTGCTAACTACTTTTTGTCACAGGCGAGTATTTTCGAAAAGGAACTGATAGTCATTCATTTGCAGTGAATGTTCACCTAGTTGAGTGACAACAAAGATCAACACTAGATATAAGAGTTTATACAGTGATACACATTTTTCAAAACAAGGAATATATCATGATCACATAGGCTGACTGATCTTCATAAAGGGGAATGAGCTGCAACTGTCTAAATGGATAGATACACAAAAATTATACCTTGACTCACTTGGCAAATGGAAAAACATCAAAGACAAATTTTTCAAACTTTATTGCATTAGGTTTTTGAGGTATTATTTGTTCTCCTGTTTCTATATCTATATGAATAACTTTCTTCTGAGCTCGATGATATTTCATTTTCATTTGTATATCATCTTGACAAACACTTTCCAAAAATAATCTTGTTGTAAAATGTACACAAATATTACCATGACTATAGACTAAACGATTTAAGTTATTTGTATATGATAAGTCTCCATTATTATGGACTATTTTCGAATTGTTCAGATCATCATGATGGTCATACTGATTTACACGTAGAGACGCTGTACTTGGAGATATTTCACTATATTCCACAACCTAATATTCAAATAAAGAGTAGAAGAAAGGCAAAGTATGAGCATAGAATACTTCTACTAAGAATAAAATTATCACGATATACAGCCAGACCACTAACAACCTAAGTTCACATAAACAACGAAAATGATAAGTGAACTCAAAGGAAAACCGGAGTCAAAATAAGAGTATCTGGATCATAATCAATCTTGAAACAAAACTACTACTACTACTATATCTCAACTTTATTTAATGATAGTTTTACCCAGTTTCCATGTAAAAAAAGATTTCAGTACATTAAATATACCCATTTAGACTGATTGACTGAAAAAATATATTCCTTTTCTAGCATTGATTTTGATGCTGTACAGTTAGAACTTTTGTTATTTAGTCAAAATTTTTGTGATAATCGTGATATGATTAGTAAGACAGAAACGTAAGTGTAGTTTGACAACTTGTATACACAGATGGAAAGTTTGATGCGGTCATCTAGTGAAGACGTTGATAGACTCAAGACTACACTCGTTGACTCCTGTCTTAAGTACACAAGTAGTAGGAACGATACAAACAGTATTCTAATGAAAAAAGCTTTGCAAAAGATTAAAACAAATGCAAATATTGTCATTACTAAGCTAGATAAAGGATCGTGAATAGTTTTGATGGATAAAAAAGACCACATAGACAAAATGAATGCTTTACTTAGTGATGAGAGTAAATTCCAGAGAAATCACTGAAAAAGATAAAATAGGAGGGTTTCATTTCAGAAAGCACTTTTGAAATGCTCAAATCTACTGGAACTGTTGCGCCTAGACTTTACAGTCTGCCAAAACTGCATAAAAACGGATTACCTCTTCCACCAGTTCTCGACATGGCAAACTCTCCGTATCATACAGCCACGAAATGGTTAGTACAACCCTTGAACCCTCTCCACAAAGAAATTGTAAAGTACAGTCTCAGAAATACCTTTGAATTTGTTGAAAATATTGAGGATTTGAAAGTAGATAATAAGTTAATGATGTCGTGCGGTGTTTCATCTCTTTCTACTAACGTACATTTAATTGAGACAGCACACTTTATTTGCGATGAACTTACCAAGCACGGCATGGTAATAGGTATTCCAGTCTCCACATTGAAAGAAGTACCTCTGAAGTGTACGATAAACGCACAATTCAACAATAGACTCTACAGGCAGTCTGATGGCGTCGCTATGGGGTCACCCCTTGGTCCGCTGCTAGCAGAATTTTTTTCTGGCAAAACTAGAGAATCGTCCCTTTAACGAAACTAATAGCCGGTTCAATTCATGTTGTCGTTACATGGATGATATCTGTATAGTTCCCAAAAGTGAGATTGATGAGAATGATGTTCTTTATAGTTCGTCTTCAAGGCTTACTCAAAATCTATAATCAATGTTCACCAACACCCCACCACGTGATTGGTATTTTGATTGAATTGTAAACATACATATTAGTGTAGAGCCTAAGACGAAGACCTAACTGAAAAGGTATATATTTCTTGGCTCAACCAGTCTTTTTTCTATATGAAAGATTTCTTGCCACTCGTTCATCCTACACCAACGGTTTTCAGTAGAAAATTGTTGAACATCTCGATTTCTCAAAAAAGACATTTAAAACATAGGTCAAGGGCTTTCTACAAACTGACTCCATATATCTAGTATCATACAGACTGCACGAATATGTCACGTCACATACGTTAATGACCAAAGTAAAAACTTATTCAATAGACTTCTGTTAACATTTAGGAAGCGAAAACTACATCAGCCATCATCTGGCAGTCAATTCGTGGACGTATTTCAGTTTTACAGGTCACTCATAGCATGAGTACCTCATTCGCTAAGTCTCTGACTTGTCCGCTGAGTAGTGCACCTTGCTAATGAGTACTAAGAAGGACAAAATTCATGTCTAAGGATTCCTATAGAACAAATTAGAATGAACCCTGAACAGAACTTTTCCAGAAGCCCTGGCAGTTTTTATGATCTCTTTCACCTGTCATTCTCAAGAGAAATCGGAAAATAAACTTCTGTGGAGTAAATTATCTTTTTCACATAAATAATGTCATTACGATTTTGTCAGATGACTTCAATGCCGGAAGCATTTTGCAAGATTTTGAAAACAAAGATATAAGCTGTAAACCCTTCAATCTAAAAGACAAAATGCAGTAAGATGGGGAAAAACGAATGTCAGACAAACATAATCTATCCTATAGTATATTTGTTTATTTTATATACAGCGCACAATGATACAGTATTATTTACTATTAAGGTTCATAAACCAGGTTATCCTATTAGACCTTACAGTTGACTTCCGAAATGCCCCTACATATGAACTTTCAAAGTACATAGCATCAATAATATGTCCTATTAGAAGCCGGTAAAATTTTAGACTAATCAATTCTTACGTGTCAAAACAAAGGCTAATTGATCTACAAATAGAAGAGGATGGAAAAATGGTTAGTTCCCACGTAACAAGTCTTTATACTAAAATACCGATCAATATGGTACTGGAGGCAGTCAGAAATCAATTAAATACTAACTCAGAACTTACTCACAGAACTAAGACATCGGTCGGTAAAATCATATTAGGCGTACAGTTGTCTTTGACCTCCACAGTCTTCAAGTTTCAGGAAAAAATATACAGACAAACAGAAGGAGTTCAATGGGATCACTAATATCCCCAAACGTAGCAGATATATTTATGGATAGCTGGGAAGACACGGCCATACGAATGTATACTCCTGCACCTAAAATATGGTGGCGATATATGGATGACACATTTACTGTGTTCAAATCGGAATATATCGACAGTTTCCTCGCCCATATAAACTCAGTAGTGGATGCAATTCAACTAACTTACGAGGTAGAAAATGATCAAGGAGAATTACCTATGCTGGATTCCAGACTAAAACGATGGATAGATGGTGGTTTGGATACTACCGTCTACAGGAAACCGATACATTTTAACAGGCATTTAGACTTCAGGTCATCTCATCCAATGTCAGTTTAGTCAAATGTCTAAATGATTGACCAAAAAAGCTCACCAGTTGTTGTAAGGACCTAAACAAGGAAGTGAAACGCATAAGAAAAGCGTTATTTAACTGATAACTACCCTTTACGGTTTATTGAGAAATTCGTAGGAAAACATACGAAACAAAATAATAACAGTAATACGAATACAAATAATGGCGACAACACGAGTAGAAATAAATTCAAAGCCTCTATTATGCTATCATATAAAGAAGGAACATCAGGAACTTTACGTAGGATCCTCAATAAGGCTGAAATTTGGGTGACATTTAAACCTACAAACTCACTCACACATAAGCTTTGCTGGCTTAAGGATCTGATAGGATCAGTTAGATTAGTGAAACATTGGGATTTAGCTAAATAAGGAATGACAGACCCTAATAAAATCAATATTTTAGAAACCAACTAGGCTATTGTAATGTATGCATTAACACAACCATACAATAGGATGGGATGAAACTACTACGCTTAAATCCAATATAATTAGGAGATTGATTAGTGAATCTTTGTTCATCGAATCAACACTCATTCAACATATATAACAGGAATGACGCAACACCTACACCAGAGATATGGAAAACTTTACTACCAATAGAAACAAAGAATATCAGGTGACAGGACCACAAAAATCAGATGTCAAAGTAGTGTGATTACATTGATATGATTATGATCAATGATAATTTATGCTTAAAGTGTCATCAAGTAACTAATACTGTATCACTGTGTGCTGGATCTATCAAATAAACAAATCCAATATGGAATTACATTCCACCACAATGCCTAAGGTTCGCACTTTTATTAACGATAGTCTCAAATAGGACGAAATGCGCATCATGGATTCCACTGCTAGCCACTATCCATCTTTACTAGAACTAAAACTACACAGGTATATCGAGGCATCCGCACAGCAGCCCATATGCCAACAGAAACAGATCAATTCGGTTCAATGAACGATGGGATAATGCAAACAATAACACTACAACTATACCCGTCGCACAAGAAGTGGCTATCGTGGCTCGGTGGTGTAGTGGATAACGCGCTGGCGTTTGAAGCGATCGCTCCCGAATCCGAATCCCAGTGGGGACAGCATAACTCACTGGGACGCAGGTACATCCAGCTGACGAGTCCCAAATAGGAGGAAACGCGCATCCTAGATTCCACTGCTAGCCACTACACATCCTAACGATAGTCTAACTTACAAAGTATTTTCCTATAGACAAATAATTCAAGTAGAAGAGAGGTAAAACTCGAGAAGCATTCTTCATTTAAATATGCTAACCCACCTGATAATGACCGTCCACTACACCAACAACTCCAATAGATTCTTCTGGGTCAAATTTTTGAACTACTTGAGCGGCGCAGTCCGCATTGTTCTCAATACAAAAGCCAATGAAATGAAGATCTGGTAATTTCACCAAAATATTATCAACACAATAAATTTGGACATATTCAATTCCCCTTGATTTCATATCGCTCAAAATACCTCGCTTCATGAGAGCTCTATACAAGCCACCGTTTCCATCTAAATAAAAATCGGTTAAGAAAGTCTCATTGTTACTGAAAATAGGCAACCCACAACTTAGAATTAAAAGTACAGAATTTCATTGACATGAATTGCATAGTATTAGAAACACATTGAAGGCTTTAAATGGTCCCCAGTTTGTTGACAACTATGGCTTTTTTCTTACGTACTTTACGGTTTGTTATGTTAGATTCCACCAGGTGAGTCTGTTTTCAGAAAATGCTTATCAACAGAAAAAGAAAATGGTGAATTGTGGAGCAGTTGGAAAGCTTAAATAACTGTATCCGAAATAAACTTGCCAGAACGCTGTTAACTGTCAGATAAACAGTGGTAATTTTTGGTAGCTCTAGTTTGGAAAGTTACACAGTTTGTATTCCTCAAGTGATGCTAAATGGCAATTTGGTCGTTTACTGAGCATGATTTGCACTTCAACGTTCTAGTCAAAACTGTCCTATAAAGCAAATAACTAGTAAACACATAAATTATGTTAAGGATATGACCTGCTGACTGGTGCCTAAGGACATGAAACCTGGATACAAGGTTGCCTGTATAATGACTTCAGTCAGCTAACATGGACCTTTTTTGTTATCTGCTGATATTTATATTTCTCGGCTTTTATACCGCACTAAATTGATCGACCTCTGCTGGTTCCTGTGCAAATGCCTCGATACTGCCTGAATATTTATTGTGATAACTGACATGGTTGTGACTAGCAATATTAAGGCATCCGCATAACAGCCCATCTGCCAATATAAATCAAGCAAGTTGGTCCAGTATAACAACAACAAGTAACAAGAAATGATAATAATTAATGCCTGTTATATAAATGATGGCTCTGATGTGTCACTGGCATGTTGGATAACGCTTTGGCGTTTGAAGTGATGGGTACGAGGTTTAAGTCTCAGTGGCAACAACATCACTCACTGAGGTGCAGGCATACCCAGCTGACGAGACACGTGTCCTGGACTCCACTATTAGCTACAACCAAGTCGACTGCCTAGACTAAAGTTTAAACTTTTTCAACCCAGTGATTTTGAGCAGCTTATCTTAGGATTAATTAGCTCTATACTCCTTCATAGAAAACAAAAACAATTCATGTAGGGGAAGATATAATTTGAATATCAGTGAGATATGAATATGAATATAACTATGACCAATATCTCTGGGCAAATGTTGGTATGTGACAGAAAGTTCAAACCAAAAAGTAAAACTGCAGCTCGGATTATGCATAAAAATAAACATGAATACACACTAAGTACAACGTTACCTATATATATATAACTTATTTTTACTACAATTCAGAGTGGTTACAAAAAAACCTTCTTGAACAATTCATAGGTAAATATGAACAATAAGTATCGGACAATATATGTTATGACGCAGTACAAAAATTGTCATTCAGTAAAAATTAGCCATAGTATTGCTGAAACAAAACAATGTAATTTCATTTTGATGGTGAATCTATTTTCTTCCTACTGATATCCAGATTAGAATTGTGGCTTATTGGCTTAAGGAGCTGATTTTAACCGTTGGGCCACGGGTTCGAATCCCGCTCCATCTAACGAGGTTTGGGCAGTCAGGCAGTATCACTAGCCTTCATCAACTAGGCGTGTTTCATTGCTTATCACATGAATGTGCACTAAGTAACTGGGTGGATTTCGATTTTCGATTCCCTTGGATTATGCAAAGTAAAGTGAAGTAAAGTAATTTTCATAACTGTCCATATTGAAGGCAACGGTAGAAAATAAGGTTTCAAAAAACTCTTTTGAACATAAACTTTAAGCTTTTCAATATGTACTGCTGGTACTGCAGCTGTGAAAAAGTAGTAAGTGCATAAACCTTTGATGCAGTTCAACTGAGCAGTGTACATTATCTTCCGAAATAAATCATGAGAGGATGTGGATCAACCATTGGTTAACTAAACCATAAAGTATTCAAAGAGGCATCAAAAAGAGAACTCCTCACAGCGTTTAGTAAAATACAGTCTACAATAATAAGTGAAATTACAACTGCACATAGCTGAAATAGTGTTTTGGAAGCATTTGAGTCTGCATATTTAGTGATAGACTCTTCAAAAACAGGCAAGATAACGAACAAAGCAATTAACAGATGAAAATTGAAGTCATTTTGAATCGTACGAGTAGAGGTAATACTTCAGTTGGCCATGAAAGATTCCATATACAAATTGTAATAATCCATAGTAATCCAGGAGGTGGTTATGCTCAAACTAGTTAACGAACTGAATACACAGCCCAGAATGTCAGACAAGATTCTGTCACCCATAAAAGTTCATTCTGACCATGATAACTTACTCACCCGAGTAAATAGCCCACTAAACTGCTGCAAACGAGGATGTTTTGGGCGTAAGTATACGACAGCATCGGAACAGGGGCAGTTGAGAAGGTTGGACTGCGCATAAGGTGAAATCTCTTTCCATAAACAGGAATGTTAGAACCATTTCTCCATATCTGATGTAATTCCAGCCAGGTCGGCATGAACAGCAATAAACAAAAGTGTTCACCACAAAACAATCTGAAAGTGGAAATTCTATACACTCATACAACCTCACTTCAAAATGACAACATAAATGAAGTCGGCCCAACACCTGTCTCAAATGACAAGGCGAACTCGCTACGATGCAATGATAATACGATGCTACCATATACAGAGAATAACAAGGTTTGATGAACACGTTCAGACACAAATGATATCCTGAAAATATGAATAAGAACAATGTGCTAAGAAGAACGAACAGAATTGTCATCATCACATGTGTCGAAAATCAAATATCCATCAACATTCAGCTAAAGGATGACTAACTAGCCAACATTATTGCGGGTAAACATTTGCGTTTATTGGAAATGAGATTTCGTTCAGACAATCTGAGACTGAGAGTGACACTGGTTAACAGGTGTTCCTAACCACCTCAACAGATAAATGAGGATGATTTATTTCCATGTGAATAAGTGTTTATGAATATAACTATCCCTTCAGAATCAACAGTTTAGGATGAAATGGGACGACTATTTCAAAAGATGTTGAAGAACATCTAGCAAAATGCAACTCGAGGAAGTTTGAGTTTTCTACACACCTTTACCTAGATGACACGTGGCAATATCGACATTGGAACTGTATCTTCAGTCATCTGATAGGCATCAGATCGCTTGCAATAAATAGTAAGAATTGGTCGTCTTCAAACAGCTCAGGCTATTTCGATAATAGCAGGTAATTTTAGCTTTCTCTGTGAATGCACCAAAAAGTACCCACATTCCTCCAAAACCAACCACAAAGATTTATTTAACGAAATTCGGGTATGCAGTAACAACAAAATTATTCGTTATCAAAGACAAACTCAAAGAAAAAACAAATGTCATAAGAATCAGACATAAATATAACATAGGATTATATTAATTCCTTTAATATTAACATTTGCAAATTATGATTCTTCATTGAATATGACGATTTAAACTCACTGAAACGGAAGGCAGCACAACCCCTTGGCTCCAAAAAAGGAAACGCCTTAAACATGGTGCATCGAAAATTTATCTTTCCTATTCAAAGTTCCGTTCTAGACTGCTGCCAGTGGAAACCTCTAGACTTCAAATGATTGCATTATTCACTTTCAAAGGAAATTCACAAAATTTAATTACTTTTGTAAAATCGAAATATGTGTTTCAAAGAGTATGACCCCTTCAGCAAACTTCATCTAGGAATTATCCTTCAGGTTAGCCTACGGATAAACCCAAAGAAGTGAATAACATCCCTCAAAGTTTGTCACTAACAAGCATAATTGTTCCTTCGCAGACAACTGAGAACACCATTTTGCTTGAATAACACGTGCAAGTTACATTAAAATTGAACGAAAGATTAAGTAACAAAGTTTCAAAATCAAATAACGTGCTACGAGCACGGAGGCATACAAAAACAGTCTCCATAACTCACACATCTATTCGAAAATACTGAAGTTTACGTGATCACCCAGTAACTTCTCCCACAAACCATTTTCACTCAGATGACTTCTTGAAGCGTTTGACTACTTGTACCTACAGCCCACTCATTAACCAACCCATGAAACACACTAAATCTATCTGTTCCACTTTCGCCCTCCCAACCGACGTAATCAGATATTTCTGTGATGCAAACACATTATTCATATCCGAGGTCACAGAATGCAGTCATCCAAATCACGCTGATATCACTGGAACCTTACTGGTTCGACAAATGAAAAATAGTCACCAGCACTCCACCTTTATTTCTTTTCACTCCTATGTTTACTCAAAACAAGATGACGATTATTGCTGAAATCAACGGTTACTTCGACATTCCGTCAAGATGATGGGTTTATAAGAAAGGTGGGTCAGTGTTTGATGTGCGCTCACAAATCGTCTACTTTTACATTGTCCTCCCTACTGGTCAAGAAAACTTGTCACCTTCAAACAGTTTATTCTCCTGTCACATTTAAGTGGCATGATCTCTCAGAACGGAACAGCTGTTGTGAGAATCTCGATGAACATAAAGGATGTGTTGAAGTTATGTTGCTGTCTATGGATTGGCATCATCAGCTCCTCGTTCTCCTACATCCTACACGTGGTTTTTGGGCAGTGCAGGCAAACAGCAATCAGCTAGTGATACACTGTGTAAGTGCTAATCAGTCAACTTGGTGTTGGTCGACCTAATCCTGCGGATTATTTTTGAAAGTCACAGCATATTTGGTTCCTTCACGAAAGTGAGAATCCAAACAATGATATGTTGGTGTCCATTGGTTGTGGCACGACAGATGTCACGGTTATGGTAGAGATCAGTATCCTGTTAATGATGAACTTTCTCACGGCTTGCTGTCGACAGTAGTTGGGAACATCTACTGAATACTATTAATTTTTGAATCTGCAGACGTTAAGTCAATTGATTTGCTTGTCCCTAATTTCTCACTTGTGCGCTTACGAACAA